AGAAGGGTATAGTTTCTTAAAGAGAAAAGAAGCTATACTTACCTCTTGGACACCGCATATACCTACAAAAGGATTCCTTGTGCCGTGTCATCGTTATAGAGTAAATTAAGAAGGCTTTACTCTGTAACACTCTTTTCATCAATAATGTCGTCTTTTTCAAGAATAAATTTGTATTGCTTGATGAGCGGTTTGTATAATCGATCGATTAAAAACTTCTTACTCCTTGTTAAGCGGACTTGCAAATATTCTGTTATGTGATCGTCATTGTCGAAGAACATTATAGGTCTGCGATAGTTCATCGTTTCATTATCCTGATACCACCAAAATTCCTCTTTTCGTGTTAACTTGTTGTTAGAGGTAGAATCATCTGAACCTAAATTTGAATCTGAATTATTATTTGACATGTACTTGAAAAGTGCGTCAGTGTTAGCAGACCCCAACAATTTCAAGGATAATATTAAATTATCAGTGGTAGCAAAAAGAGAGATTTAGCATGAATGTGAGGAAAGCGAATAACCAGACAAAATATGGATTGGGAGTCCCTCTCACCTTAAAATTATTAATTAAAAATTAACTGAGTAATTTAAAACCTTTATATATTTTTTTATAATTATGGGATTAAAGAAACCGGTTTGAAAGAAACTAAAAATAAACAGATTAAACGCGTAAAGAACCAATCAGATTCATGATAACAAAGATAATTTGCAAGATTTGCAAAGCAAAAGTTTATTTAACAGCAAGAATTTTGACGAAGACAACCCAATTCTTTCTTGAATTTTACAAATACAACACACAACATACAACATGAAATTCTTAAAAAAACTCTTAAAACTCTTTAAGAAAAACCTAAAACAAGATGATGATAGTTGGGACAAAATTTGTGACAAGGTTGAGTCTTGGTCCACAAAGTCAACTGACGATAAAGAAGATTTTTTTAAAACCACCTTACCGACGATTGAATTTGAGGATCAATTCTCTGTAATTGATCTGAAGTTTTACACAAAATACGAAGAATATCTTGATGATGTGAGAAGAGAAGACACTAAAAAGTATGAAAAATTCAAGATGTACTTTTCATTCTTGGACGCGCATATACGTAGTTACTATAATCTATTTCATAACGCAATATGGTATTATAGTAAGGGAGATGCATTTGATTTATTGCTGTGGAGAAGAAAGCAATATGAAGAAGATTTTGAGTACACGATAGGAGTTTTAAACAAGAATTTTAGTTATATTTACCTGTTGGACTATAACGATTTGTTGGATTATGCTGAAAATAATTTAGTATTTTAAACATAATTTTTGTAAATAATTTATTTATATTTATTTTTTTGTAAATAAACGTGTGATTGTGTATAAAGTTTCTGATACATTCTATGATTACGTTATAATGAATCTAAAATTAGTAATCTGATTGTATGCATGTGATTTGGTGTATTTTCCTTTTGTAGATGATTATTCAGTCTACAATTAGTAGTTTTTATTGTGTGATCGACAGTACAAATAGTTGGCAAAATGCCCAATTTTATGTTTCTCACACTTTCGTTGCATGGAGAAACTATAAGAAATACATGGTTTAAACGATGCTTAGAGCATTCCCACGCAGTGTCAAACACGTAAGATATCCAAGTTTACTTGGAGAAGCTAGTACTCGTGGTTCTTCCGTTGTCAATGTACGAGTGCGAACAGTTGGGTCAACTTTTTATCGTTTCAGATGGTCGTTATTAAGTTTTGGCCATGCTTTTTATCTCGAAAGTGAACGAAAAACTTAGTGTTTGCATTTAAATGCACCTTGAGAAACGTCTCAATGAACGGATGTGTTTAGGCTTTTTTCTACCATAGAAGAGTAAAAAGCACTCTCAAATGTTAGTTATCTCGGAGCATACTACATGGTTTTACCGGTTAAAACTTCAGGCTTATAACGCTGAGATGCGACTTGGTTCACTGTTTGGGTTTGGTAGCTGAATCTGAAAAACAAACTCCACAACTTTTAATGCTGCGATAAGGTATGGCTTACCGTACAAGCTTAGTGTCTCTAGCTATTTCCTCACTTTGAAAGGCAGCACGGGTTGTTTCTGAGTCAACTTTGTTGCGAGGACAACTCAAACATGCAAATGAGAGAATGCCTTTACGTTGGCTTGCATAACAAGTAGCATTTACATGCAAAACTAAATTTTCTCAACTAATAAAAATTTCTGAGTTTAAAAAAATATATAAATTCCTGAATATTGCTTAAGATTTTATTAAAAATTAACAATTTTCCTAATGGCTAAGGAAACAAAAACCTTGAAAACTTCATGTCTGAGATGCCAAAAACATAGAAGAAAATGTGTAAAATTAAA